TGCCTAGATAGACTCCCCCTAAAGCCCAAGATCTCTCTGAGGAATGTGATTTTATTTATTTATTTTGTTCTATTTTGGGGCCACACCCCACTGTGTTCAGGGCTTACTCCTTGCTCTACTCTCAGGTATCACTCCTTGTGGTGCTCAGGGTGCCATATGGGGTGTCAGGGATTAAAGCCAGGTAGGTTGCATAGAAGACAAGTGCTCTACCTGCTGTACTATTGCTCTGGATCCTTGAGGGGTGTGATTTTCACACAGTTTCTCATCTCTGCTATAACCCACATCCTGATAATAGTTGTTGGTTCCTAACATCATAGATCCAGAAAGGCCTCTTGACCTAGTACTGTGTCCCACTCCAGCTCCATCTTCTCCACTTGCTGCTTACTTGCTCACTCATTATGTCATCCTGGTTACAGCATTTCTATTCCTTTAACTTTATCAGGCTCCTTCCTCTCCAGGTTTATCTCCCCTAATGCTGCTTCCTCTGCCTAGAGCACCTTCTCTCCTTCTTTATTTGGCTCATTTGTCTGCATCATCAGGTTCCAGTTCAAATATCATTTCTTCCAGGAAGTCTTCCCTGACATACCAAATTAGGTCAGGCCCCTTGGCAGATGCTCCCTTTGTCTGCTGTACTCCTGTCCTAGTACTTATGTCTCTAATTAGAGATTTGCTTGTGTGATAATTGGTTTAATGTGTCTCCTCTCATCCCCATCTCAGCTAGATGGCAAACTCTGACAGGAAAGAATGTGAACCTCTTCGATGATCTGGTCCATAATAAGTGCTCAATAAATATTCAATGAAGAAATAATTAATATATCTCACATTTCAAGGTGACAATAATGAGACTATGGGCATAAAGTCTCAGTTCCTTCTCTATCCCCATACCCATTCTAATTCAAACATGGGGTAGGTAGTGCTACACCAAACAAACAGGCTTTATTTTGCATTTAACTCAAGTGAATCAGTGAAGGCATTTCAATTGGTTGCTTTTTATGTGTAGAGAAATTACCTCTGTCCTGCTTTGCAATATCTGTGCTATTTTGGGCTGTTTTTATCTTTTGAGTCTATTTTTATTGGAGCAATAATTTCACCATTTGGCTACACAGAGGCCCAATTAATATTACAAATATGGTCCCATAAAATTCACTTCTTGACATTAGAACGTTTTGTTGCTAATTACTCTCCAAGGTTTTTAATTTCAATTCCTCCTTGGTGACTTAGTATAGAAATTCAAGGGCACAGTTATTTCCCCCAAAGGGAAAAGAGAACTAAGTAACGCCAAGTTTGTATCTACTTGCCCTTCCTTCTAGGAGATACCTTGTTTCTGTTTTTCAATTTATTACTTCCCATTTTCTTGACCAGAAAACAGATAAACAAAGTTTTGTTGGGATAAAGACACGACTTTCTAGAAATAAAATGAAAGTAATCATTTGCTAAATAATTTATTCAAGCAATATTTAGTGAGCACCTACTATGTATTAGATCTTTTGTCAGATCCTTTTTTAGGCTAGGCACTGAAGATGCAAAACAAAACAAAACACCCCAAACTCCAAAAATCAAAAACCCAAAACCAGCAGCAAAAACAAACCCCATTTAAGTATATACAAATGTAGCTTCGTACTGTCTCCAGGTAGCTAACAGTCTTGAGTGGGCAGGAAGGATGTGCTGCAGCGTCTATGACGTATCTTTTCGTGGTGGCATACAGCCCATGCAAAAATGCCAAATCAGTCTTCAGGGGTTGAAATCGGGGATCCTTTGGTCTTTTTTCTATTGAAAGACCCTGGCTAACTATAAGGAGTGTGCATTTTAATAATATTTTGAATGGGTTGATAAAATAAGAACAGATGGCTAAAGTTTGTCATTCGAGAGAAAATAATGAAATATTTCACTGCTTAATCTGTCTCTTTTTCACACTCTTCCTTAACTCCTCCCCACTGCAAAGATATTCAGATGCAACAAATTTTAAAGCAAAATTCTAATAATATCTTCTTAGTCACTTAGGTCTTTTCACCTGAAAAGACCCTAACTTTGTCAGCCATCTCTTTGCTAATCTACTTTGTTAGCCGTTTATACTAATGCTGCCTCCTGAGAGGAATTTTCCTAAAAGAAGTTGCTTTGGAGAAACATAAGAAATGGTGGTGAAGTGAGACTAGTTTTGGTATCTCTCTGCATTTGGGAAAAGTAGCTTTGTACATGTTTTATTAACTAAAACAAAAAAGTACTAGAGGACCCTTGCTAGGGAACACTTTTTTTTTAATTCTCCTGTTCTCCTGCCCTTGGGATGCATATGGCCATACGCTCTTGCTGCATGTGCCTCCTGATCAAGAGAAGTACAATGTCAGCACATTCACGTAATATTGCATGGATTATCATTATACCGCAACTTTCCTCTGAAGCTTCCCTAACACTCTGCTTCAACAAACATCAGATAAGATTAATTGCTGGGAGAGGGAAGTTACCACTGCTTTGGCAACATGGCCAAAAACTCCTGGGAGTCAAATGAGCATCTTGTGTTATTTGCCCACTGCTTGCTGACTTCAGAAGCATGAGCCTCCAGGATGCTCCTGGATAAACATCATCTTTGTGGCCACACATTGTTTTATGAGCTGAGTCATCAGACTGGCTGTCTCTTAAAATGCTGCTCTCTGATTCTCCAGGCAGCAGAAGACAAAGATAGAAGATATGAAATGTAGCTCGTTGGGCTTTGTAAAGGGCCAGTCTCATTTGCCAAAGGAGCTGTAGGGTATTTATCATGACAGAGCTTGTTTCTATTAAAAATTGATTAATTTAGGTTTCATTTAAGAGAAAAAAATGATACTGTCTGCATGTCTTGTACATTATATAAAAATCTGTTTGATTATGGACTACTTTCAATAAACGCCAGTCATATCATGCTTAAAACGTAATTCCTTCCTCATTCATCAGGTTTGAATTTATTATCTGAGGTAATGAGTTTAACCCAAAATAGTGACATGTTAAGTCAAACCGAAAACATCTTTGATTTTTAGATAAATTGTTCCATCATGTTTATCTTTGATATAGCTACAAAATAACACATCTCAGTGGATTTTAAATTAAAGCCAGTGTGCCCTATATCAAGTAAATTTACTTTAATTAAAATCATTTCCAAATTTGGAGATTTGTAATTTGCTGGAGTAAATCTTCCAGTTCTCTTCTCCAACCTATTTCATTCTGGTCTCAAGCTAAACAGGCAGACCATTTACCCAAGAGTATATACTGAAGAGCTATTAGGTGGCAGGCACTATATTAGACTCTGTGGGGGACAAAATTAAATGAAGGGTGATCTTTGTCTCTGAAAAAGGGAACAGGGCTTTTAAAATGTGTACCGTGGAAACATTTGATTTCTTTGTTCCATTGGAGAGAAAAAATCGCTTTAACCAGGGGTTCTTTCCTAAGAAAAGTGGTCCTGGGAAGGTGAGAAGCCATGAATTTCAAGAGAGGATGGTAGGCTTCGAGATACTGTATACAAACGACCAGTTTAAACCAGGAAATAGCTGATTTTTGTGTCTGGAGTCATGATGGTCTGAGGAACTTCGGGGCTTACAGTTTCTCCTTTCTCTGAGGTGACAGGACACAAACCAGACTATTGAAGGCTGAAAGTCTCCAAATTGTGTTGAAATAAGGGATTTGGAATGAATGACTCAATCAAATTCAGACTGAGAAAGGAGAGAGAATGGGAGATGAGAATATTGATAAAGTGTGTGTTCCTGGAATTAGGGAATGAACCTGTAGACCAGAACAAGATGAAAGGGAGCAGCTATGATGCGGTATCATGAGAAGAAGTAGGCAGCAAGAGCGGTAGAGAGAAGGGGAGGCAGCTCCCATGCTGGGAGGGTGTGTACATGAGTCTTGAGATGCTGTCAATTGTGTGAACCAAAAGCCTCAGAAACGCCTCACTGCAGAGGCTGCGGGTATAACAGAGCGGGAGCAGTTTTGTTGAAGTTTGATTCTTCAAGACAGTGGCGATGTCTTTGCTTGAACTAAATTTAGTACAAGCAGCAGGACCGTAGGAGCCCAGACTTATCATATGGCCTTCTCACCTTGATCTTTTTTCCCTTGGCGTGTTCGGATTAGAAACTCCCCCACTCTTGAACTGAAGTGTGCAGCCATGGACGAGGACTGTCTTCGCCTGGGAAAGTGTGTGAGGGACTACAGAAGGGTTTGTTTCCGCAGCACTGGTAACAGAGATGAAGGGATCTGCAGGGACTGGGGCGAGGAACATCATGAGATCCAGATGTAGGTGGATAGACATCTGTCCTGGTCTTTTATGAGTGGTTGTCCGGGGTTCAGGCATTACAGTCATCGGATTCTTAGCGGGGTGAGAAAAAGAAGGAAAAATTGGGGAACCTAGTCAGAGATTCAGAATGGCTGTGGAAGCAGGAGGCCGTGTCCCGGGATGGCACCCTAACGATGAAGTACTCCCTTGCTAGGAAGGCAGGTTTTCGTTTTTCAGGTCCCAGACAACTACCGCAGAGACCAGCCAGGAGACGTCAGCGGCCTCGGGCCTTGAGGCACCCCAGAGCTCTCTCACGAAGGACTACGGACGGACGCCAATCTGCAGCTCTCCTATTCAGACTCCAAGCTGTGGGTCATAGAGAGGCAGAGCAGTTCTGGAGCTCTTTCAGGGGCTGTGGCCATGACAAGCCTGTGGGAGAGACTGGGATCGTTCTAGAAAGGGCATCGTTGCCCCCGCCCCCAGCCCCCCCTTCCTGGCTCATGCTCTCTCCTTCTCTACACGGGACGCGCGGCGATTTTGGAGCGCGTGGCAGGAGGCACAGGACGCGGGAACCGGTCGTCCCCGACTCCCTCTGCTCCAGCGTCTGCTGCCGTCCAGGACCCCGGGTCCACCCCGATAGCCCACCGGGACACCCAATCGCCTCTCGCGAATTTCCCTCCGCCGGTGCGCGGCGGCGGCGGCGGCGGCGGCGCGTGGGTTCGCGCGGCGCGGGCTCGGGCGGCGCGAGCCCGGGCGGCGCGAGCCCCCGCGCGCCGGGGAGTGGCGCATGCGCGGGCGTTTTGCGAGCCCGCTGAGGCAAGCCGAGCGCGGCGGCGCCGGGAGCCGAGCAGCGGAGCTGTGAGGAAGCGAGCGGCGGCGCGGGAGCGGCGGCCGCGGACAGGTGGCGAGTCCTCCTCCGCGCATTCCGGGAGTGCGGGGCCGCCCGCGGAGCCTCTCGGTCTAGACGTGGCGGCGGCGGCATCCCGGACGGCCTGTGAGGGATGCGCCGCCTACTGCCCCGCGCCGCCTGACCGCCCCCGCCTCGGCTCGCGGTGCGCCACAGCCGGGCTCGCGGCCGCCCCTGCCGCGCTCCCGCCCGGCCCCGGAGCCCGCGGGTCCGCGCCCGGTCCGGCCATGTGGACCCCCACGGAGGAAGAGAAATACGGCGTAGGTAGGTGAGGCTCCGGCCTGGCCGCGGCGGGAGCTCGGGGGCCGCGCCGGGCAGCAGGGCCCCGCCTTGCCGCGCGCCCGCGCGCCCCCGCCCCTGCCCGCAGGCGGCACGGCCTCGTTGCGGGGCGAGCGCGGGCTGGGGGCGGCGCGGGCGCGGGGGTGGGAGCGGGCTCGGGCCGCGGGGAGGGCGGCAGGGGGCGCTGGCGGCGCGGCCTCGGCAGGTGCGGCGGCGGGAGGGGCGGGCCGGCCCGCGGCCGCCCGAGGGTTCTGGTGCCCCCCCCCCCCAACTCCGGGCAGTTTTCACCTCAGAGGCCCAGTTCTGGGAGTCTCGTTTTCCACATCCTCTGACGGCGATTTTCGTTGAGTTTCCGCACCTGAATCCTAGAGTCCGAAGAGTGATTTTTGGCTCGGACCCTTCACGAGAAAGGGAAGCGCCGCGATAACGTTTTCGCTGTTCAGAATTTTGCAGTCGTCCAGTGACTGCACATGTCTGTCCGGTCGCGGGCTTTTATTTTTTTGCCTGCCGCGTTAGGAATTTTTGCTTTACAAAAAGGAGTGTTTTCGGCTGGTTTGCGGTGCTTGCGCGGGAATCAAGCCCAGGGCTTCACACTTGCAAGACTGCCTTAGCGCAGAGCCACAGCTCGCCAGTGTTGCTGGAGCAGGCCTCTCTGCTCAGTTTGGTGTGATTTTGTAGTTTCCGGAGGTCCTTAAGAACTGTCACAAGTATTAAAACTCCAGAAGCTAATTTTTCGGACATTCTACTTCCGTTTGAAAAGATATATTCATTTACAGGTCTGAGTATTTTAGTTTTAATAAATGTTTGGCATTTTGTGGCAATTTCATGATGCAAGCACATTCATTTTTGTCAGAGACCCGCCAGCCAGTTCAGTTAAAAGATTTAACATGTGTTTAGGACCTCCCCCCCTCCTGCCCCCCCCCCCCCACTTCAGTCAAGACTTAGTTCACAACTGACTACAAAATAACTTTTTAAACTAATAGGGGTAACAACAATTTCAGGTAAATTACCAAATGCTCATTAAATTAGTTTAGATGTATGGACCTGCAGAAAGATTTTATAGGCTAATAGAAAATCTTGTTTTGAAATGTAACTTTCTGAATTTTTTTTTTTTTATTAACTATGCTACAGTGGTATGACAGCATATACTAGAATGGAAGTGATCGAATTATTCCTAGAGCTAGAGACTGTTGAGAGGGAATTGGGAAATGTGAATAGTCAAAATTCACTTCTGGGAACACTTACTTTTTCTCTTAGAGAATTGCCTTAATACTTAATAGATTCTGTAAAATGAAGAATTTGGTGGTTTATCTTCTCTATAACCGTTTTAAGAACTGCTTAACTAGAATAACAATATGTCAAAGTGGTCAGCTGTTCAGTGGCACCTGTGTGATAGTTTCTGGGGAGGAACCCTTGATTACCAGTGTTGCAGTTATGAGTCCCTCTTCCTCTTTTCTTTCTGGTGTTGTTGGCAAGTAACTTAACATTATTTCCGTAATGCGTAAATTGGGGATAATATTTACCTATTTTATAGGTTTGTGAAAAATCAAGAGTATAACTAGTGTTCCCTAAAAGTTAATTTTCCCTTTCCCTTTTTAGTACTTCAGGGTAATAAACACTAGGTATCTTCTCAGTGATAGTTCTGAGGAGGAGGCATTGCAGAGGTAGTCGGGATATGCATATGTCACTCTCAAAGCCCTGGGATTTGGTGTGATTATTAAGTAAGATAGAATAAAAATATTGAATTCTTAGGGCTGTGTTTTTACTTTATTTTCCTGTGGAGGGCAGAGCTTTGGGTAGAGGACAGGACTTAGAATACACATTAAATGAGAGAGATAGTTACTCTGAAAACATTAGCAACTGCAATGTCATGTAGATAGATTTTTTTTTTTTTGCCTAGCAAGACAACATTCTCCTTCACATATTTTCTAATCTCACTATCCCTCCTTTTTTTTGTTTTAGTTAGCTTCTAAACGTTCTTATATAAATATAGCTTCCTCAAAATTCAGATTTCCCTGCTCCTCCTGCCCTGCCAATAAACATGTTAGGGCTAACTTCCCAGTTTTTTTTTTTTTTATAAAATTCAGTTAAATCTGTAAAGTAGCTTATATGTTATAGTTGGAATTAGACAAATAGTAATTTAATAATATTTCACTTGCATTATTTAATTTCTGTTTGGAAGATTGAACCATTATTATTACTCATAAGATAAATGTTTTGAGTTTCAGTCTTGACTTTTATGGCCAGCTGGGAGCACCGATTTCTGTTTCTGTGTGCACATCCTTAATTTGCATAGCAGGGAAGGAAAACATACCCAATTCCCACCAATTTAGAGAAATTTCTGGGATATTGGTGAGGGAAGGAGTGCTCTGTTGTAACATTGAAGAAGTCATTCCCCCACCCCCCCAACCACTGCAGCTGTTTATCTGTGTTTGACATTGGTAAGATTTTTGAGATTCTGTAGTAATATTGAATATTTTAAAATTTTGTGTGTGTGTACACCATGGATCAAACCTAGGGCCTTATACATGTGAGGCATGTGCTGTAATATTGAGTTATTTCCCTTACTAACATTTTAATGATATGGGAATTATAGTTGAATTTAGATATTATGATTGAATTTAGAGAGAGTAAAGTATATCTTTCAAGAATAGGGGCTGCCTATTGTGGTTTAGTACTTCAGGGTAATAAACACTAGGTATCTTCTCAGTGATAGTTCTGAGGAGGAGGCATTGCAGAGGTAGTCGGGATATGCATATGTCACTCTCAAAGCCCTGGGATTTGGTGTGATTATTAAGGAAGATAGAATAAAAATATTGAATTCTTAGGGCTGTGTGTTTACAGCCACCTGTAGGCATCGCTCCAGGTGATATTTGGCCTGATGGTATGGGCCTGATGATACTCCTCCGTTTTGGAGTAACTGAGACCATCAGGGTCACCCTGGTGATGCTTGGTGGCCCTTGGAGTTCTGGGATTGATTTTGGGGCCTTGAGCATTCAGTGCATGCACTCCGACCCTTTGAACTATCTCCCCAGTCCAGGTTTTCTGAAGATGGTGGTGGGCCAGTCATTGTTCTGGGGATTCTAACTCCTGTTATACATGTAGATTCTCAGAGGAATCTTAATGTTATCTTTACTATGGAATTGAAGAAGCTGCATCTCAGATTATTAATCCTTTTTGTTGTTGTTGTTGCTTTTTGTACTTCAACATTTAAACATTCTAAATTATCTTGCTAGTAGGCAATAGTTTATGATATATTTAGGTCACATCTCTACTATCCTTCTCTAGTGTCAGAAGGGACTTTTTTTCTGAACTTTTTAGCTCATAAAGGTAAAGGTAAAGCCCTCCCGTTGATCATCGATTTGCTCGAGTGAGCCCAGTAACGTCTCCATTGGAGACTTGTTGTTACTGTGTTTGGCATATCGAATACGTCACGGGGAGCTTGCCAGGCTCTGCCGTGCGGGCGAGATACTCTCAGTAGCTTGCCGGGCTCTCTGAGAGGGGCGGAGGAATTGAACTTGGGTCGGCCATGTTGGCTGCGTGCAAGGCAAACGCCCTACCGCTCTGCTATCGCTCCAGCCCCATATTTTGAATTTTCATATCTCTTTCCTTTTAAAGAAGCTTTGCTTTCCTTTTGTTGTAAATGCCTGGAAATCCCTGCATTCTGTTATTATTTTACCTAAGAAACTAATTACATCAGTTGGATAGGAAAATCCCAATTATTTTTGTGAGACATCTTGCCTTTTCCCATTTTGATTGCACCCAGATTACTAAATATAGAAACCAAAACCAAGAAAATGCATTTCCTGTCTTCTAAAATAGCAACAACATCACTACCAACCAATAAAACAAGAATATTTGTGGTTTAAACTCTTATTCAGTGGAGTACCAATCATTTGAGCACATGTGTATTAGTTTGATATTTCAGAAGTGGATGCTGTCTTAAAACCCATTTTGTTTATTTTATTGCTTCATAACATAAAGCAATGGGGGGGCTGGAGCAATAGCATAGTGGGTAGGCCTTTGCCTTGTATGCGGTCGACCCATGTTCGATTCCTCCATCCCTCTCGGAGAGCTCGGCAAATGACTGAGGGTATCCTGCCCGCACGGCAGAGCCTGGCAAGCTCCCTATGGCATATTCGATATGCCAAAAACAGTAACAAGAAGTCTTACAATGGAGACATTACTGGTGCCCGCTCGAGTAAATCGATGAACAATGGGAGGACAGTGGACAGTGGATTTTTAAAAATTCTTTTCCTCATTACCAATTGGAATACCTTTATGTTTTAGTTTTATTGTACTATATAAGCTTTTAAAATAATTTCAAAAAGCATTGCAAGGCTGTAGAAATAGCATAAGTGGTTGAGCATTAGGAGGACTGAGTTCAATCCCTGGCACCTCATGGTCCCCTGAGCACTATTGGGAATGACCCCTGAGCATGAGCCAGGAGTAGCATCCAACACCACTGGGTGTGACTCTCAAACTGAAAAAAAAGTAATGTATATTTTGTGCTTATCTTTGACCCGCAGGAACGATAGCACAGCGGGTAGGGCGTTCGCCTTACAAGCGGCCAACATGGCCGACCCGAGTTCGATTCCTCCGCCCCTCTCGGAGAGCCCGGCAAGCTACCGAGAGTATCTCGCCCGCACGGCAGAGCCTGGCAAGCTCCCCGCGACGTATTCGATATGCCAAACACAGTAACAACAAAGTCTCCAATGGAGACGTTACTGGGCCTGCTCGAGCAAATCGAAGGTCAACGGGAGGGCCTTTACCTTTTACCTTTACCTATCTTTGACCCAGTTTCCTTTTTAAAAAATTTCCCCAGGTGGGGATTAATAACTAAACAAAACAAAACAACAGTGAAGGAGCCCAGAAGATGACTTAGTGACATAAAGCTTTTTCTTGGCGTGCCCAAGGTTGTTCAAACCCAGTGTCTCCCTCTAAGATCTCCAGTGGGAAAGGGTCAGGAAGAGAATTCTAAGATG